ATAATATATAGAGAATTTCTTAATGTTTTAGTGTTACAAAATATTTGGATCTACAGAAGATGAACGTGTCACTTGGCATGCTGCACGAACAGCTTGCATGAATTTAGGAGGAAACCTGGCCACTATCCCTAATGAACAAGTACAAGGTACTGTGTATAGTTTTGTAGCAACTAGATGAGATGACATTTAATCTTTATAGGATGGCTGTTGTATTTATGTGAATATGGACAGGATTTGAATAATGATTGCACATCTGATTTTTGTTCCAAAACATATAATTTTTAGAAATTTACAATGAAGTGTTCACCTGAATCTACCAAATTTTAATATTGGCTTAGATACACATGTACACGTATGTTGTCCTGGTAGCCAAAATAGAGCTTTTTCTGCTTACACATGATGCCAGCTGGACGCAGCAAGTTCCATTCCAAATGATGTAGTTTCACTAAGTGGCATTAACTTGCTGCATGGCTTTCCTATTAACTCGAGTAGAACATTTTTAGGATCAGAACTTGCTGTCTCTCTGGGCAGCTTGGGCAGAGCTTTGACTGCTCATCCACGTACCCAGAACTCCCCACACAGATGTACCATTCTTTTCACTAGAGGAGCTTATTTTACTGAACCTAAGAGCTGCATCTGTGACTGGGGGAGATAAGCAGAGTAAAATTACCTCATGCTTGAATAAACATGGCGCACATTCAAATTAAAAATTGGGGAAGATTTTGATAGATGTTAGTAACACCCTTTTTCTAGAAATACTGTTTTATACCACAGTGATGAGAAACAGATCTTGCACAACACCTACTGTTGTGAACTCAAAAGAGCATACAGAAAAATCAACCATTATAAAACAAGTCTGTGTTGTAGTCTGAGCAACTAAATAGTTTAAATTTAGACTGCTGACATAACTTAGTACTACTTATGTTTTCCAAATGAGAAGAGATGAAGAATCAAACTTTTACTTTTCAAACATAGTTAAGTTCTTATCCGATATAATTCCTGCAGCACAGATTTCAGCTGATTGGTTCATGCACAGGGCTTGAATTCTAAGTAAAAGAGAAATAAGCAATAATGCTATTAGCACAAAACTATTGTTACTACTGGCAACGCAGGCATAAAGGCTTGCGTTCCTTTTACAGTTTCTGGCAGAACAGCAATGCTAACATTGCTGAAAAAAAAAAGAAATCAACAGGTTTCATTCCTGGAATTGTAAGTTGCATTCATTTAAAAAGACTAAAGGAAGGTGAACAGTTGATAGAGCAGACAGAAATTCATCTATTGTTTGCAGGGAAAAGTAAGGTCATAACAATGACTGTAGCAGTTTGCAAAAGCCATGATAGGTTCATTTTATCACAGTGTTTGATGTATTGTGGATAAGTGGGTTGATGAATGCCAGCTGATCTACCCTGCTCTATTTGTGAGCTGGTCACACTAGTGAAGACACTTAAGTACCCTCCTGGACTGTGCAAAGCTATGGTAATTGATTTTCTTGTGATGAATAGTTCTGTGAAGACTCATTTTAAGCGTGTCACTTGTGCACTCTGCTCCCTGTTAGGAGAGTGCAGGCTATTGCCCAGGTGTTCCAGAGAGAGAGGAAACACTCTTGCAGTTCTATATCAGGCACTATTTGTGCAGATGCACAAGTGGTAGGTGCTCAGTGGTGCTGTCTGATGCCTTCGGGGGGTAACCATTCTGGTGGGATCATCAGAAATGTACGTGATCCACACAGCTCTATATTTCTAAAAAGTCAGTTGTGGGACTAGGATTCAAAAATGTCTTGAGACATTATAAAAAGCATTTCTGTCATGCTTTGGGACTCATCCTAATACCAGGTTAGATACTTAGCTGAAGTATTTTACCCAAAGCCACAGTTACATATCTGGTTCCCTGTCCATTAAACTCAAAACTCACCTCCTTTTCCTCTTACCTGCTTGTGTTGTCAACAATGAAGTGTTCTGCATTTCAGAAAAAATATTTAATATCACCAGTCTCAGTGAGGTCAGACATTTCTATTGTCCTTCATTATAAGTATTTATCTTTTTCTTTACCTTTTTACTCCAGCTTTCCTCACCTTCCACATGAAAGATTTTGTTACTGATACATGGATTGGATTAAATGATATAAATCATGAACTAAGGTTCCTCTGGACAGATGGAACAGGAGTTTATTTTACAAACTGGGCCAAAGGCTTCCCATCAGGCCATACGGATCTATACTCATATGATGGCCAGGTAAATTTGGTTTTAGATTGCATTTACACATTTGTTGGGATTTGAGACATGTTACTTCTTGACTTACTACTTTCATACTTTCATACATGTCAAATATAAATCCAGATAGAGTGAATGGTTTTGAGCCCTTGGGCAGTTGCTGTATTAGCTGGGGACAGGATCTGTGGAGTGCTCATACAAAGACCGGTTTCAGATTTCAGTTCTTTATATCCATGAACGCTAAGCTGCTTCTGTGTTCACCCCGTGTTCTCTCATAGGCTCTGGTAAAGAGGATAGTGGGGTTCCTGGCTCGTGGCATTTGCCCCAAAAGCACACTGAATAAGCACATCCTCCTAGCCCTCTGACCACAGTTGTGCCTGAACTTAGCAGGTTTCTCAGCTGGCATGTAGCTTGCATGGGACACTTACAAACGTTCCCCTCAAACAGCCGTGTCTTACGTAGAAGCAAATTCCGTCAGTCACATTTGCGGAAAGGACATGCTTCTGTGAAAAGACAGCTATTCAGTTTTTATGAAAAAAAAAATAATTGCTTCCTCTATTTCTCTGTCATACAAACTCATCTGATAGGTCATAGAGTTCCTCTCTCTGATCTTACATGTTTACATAGTTCTGTGCTAGTACTGTAGTACTAGCTCTATTTCTCTTGAATGACATTTTTAGTGTAGAAATCTTATTTTTATGTATAATGTCTTTTTTCCTGATTTTTTTGAAAGTAGCACCTCTGAGCTTCTTATCTCTAATGGAGGGAGAAAATTTGGGAGAATTTGGAGTTCAAAAGAGAAAATATCTTTAAAATGTTACTTCTGGGAGGAACAAGATATGTTTTCTCTTTTTATGAAACGTAGTAGGACTTCTATGAACTATTCTGCGGAAATGTAGAAAGTTCCTGTTTTATAAATTTCAGATTTATTTTTAAGTTTACTTGACCTTAGCAAAAAATATATTATTATAGTTAATACAAAATACTATGCAACTACTGTTTGAAAGATTTAAATTTTAATGCATTTCACTCACAAATGAAGTGTTTCTTTGTGCATCTCCTCCTGAACAGCAAAACCAAATAAGCAAATAGAATAAAATAAATATGGATGCTTCACTGCACAAAACCGTTTGTACCTATGCAGCCTTTTGCATTCATCACTGTTTGTTTAATACATGCTAACATAGGTTCTAGCTATCACGTCCATGTCAGAGAAGCTGATATGTCACTGTAAGGGTGGTACTGACAGATCAATGGCTACCTTTGGGCAGGAGCAGTTCTAGTTCTGCTGTGTGTAGTATTATAACTTGCAACAATAAACTGGAAGAGACAGATAGGTCAAAAATATTGCATTGCCCATTGATAGTCTATGTTTTTTTCTGGGGCAAAGTTAACTGGTCTTTTCTACCATAGTTGATTTCACTTCTCTTAAGTTGTCTATAGATTTCCTTCTGTCCATGCTGTATGCCTGCAGAGATAAGAATACCAGAATTTCTCTGGTCTGCTTATCCACCCCAATGTTGCGCAAAAGAGAGCAACATTAAGAAATTAGTGAAGTGTAAGAGGAACAGAACCTCCACATCCTAAAACTTATGCTCTTAAATGTTACAAGGATGCGAGAGTAAAACTACAGCGTTACTTGTGTCTGAAGATGCAAAAGACGGACAAAAGTTTTGTATTTGCTTCTTCTAGCTATTTATAACTCATTTTATATCTTTTTGCCTCAAGGCTGATTGTGTTGTCATGAGAAACAACCCTGTTAAGGAAGCAGGGAAGTGGGCTGATGAGAGCTGTGATAACAACAGAGGATATATATGCCAAACTAATGCAGGTACTTGTCTTTTAAGTTAAAACACAATCAAACCTTAAAGTTTTTCAGGGAATTGCTTGGGTGTAGTGGATTTCAGCATCATTTCACTTCCAATAAAGATACATCCACAAATTGTTTTTCAGGCAGGAACACAAGGGTCATACATATCAGAGGCCCAGTTGGAGTCACTATTCCCAGCTGACCAGTGACCATTCCCAGTAACTGCCGTGTTCCTGCCTTCCTGACCTGGAATTTGGATCTACATCTTTGTGTTTAGTATGACCCTGAACATGATATTTATTCCAAGATTTTGCCTGCCATTTTCTGAACACACTGGCTTTCAAAATATGTTCTGGAAAATACTGGCTTGTACCCGTAGCATGAACTTTCTGGAGTGTGACTGCACCTCACACTCACCAAATTTGACCTAATTCACCTCCAAAAAAGAAATTAAAAAACAGTGAAAACCTGGATTTAAATATTTGATTGATTTTTAAGGACTGGTCTGTTGTGGAGTTTTCCTTTTTTCTGGCAAAAAAAAATCCCTGCAAAACAACACAGTCTCTGCAAAGCATTTCTTTTGATGAAAAAATATTTTATTAAAGAAATTGTGACCTAATTGAATCCTTATTAATTTCAGCAATACTACTTTGGAGGACTATACAGAATGCTCCTTTGCTCCTTGTCAGAGGTTGCTTTAAGCAGCTCTTTTCCTTTCTACACCTTTGTATTGATTTTTACTACTGATGCTGGCTTAAAGAACAGCACATCTAATCCATACTGATCAGAAGTCAAGGAATATGGAATCAAAGGAGAAAGGCTTTTTGTTTAATTCTATTTGCAACCACAGTGAAATCATAATCCCCTTTCGAACAATTATATGAGTCTTCTTTCATCCTTTGTTTTACAGATGCTGAGTTTCTGCCTTCTGCAAGTTCATCCCCATCCAGCATTATCCGTTATGGTAACAGTAGTTATTTGTTCATCCATACCAAAATGAAATGGGAGGATGCACGAAAAAACTGCAAACGTGATCAATTTGATCTTTCCAGTGTCTTAGACCCCTACAGTCATTCGTTCCTGTGGCTAAAGATATTAAAATATGGGGTGCCTGTGTGGATTGGTCTTAACAGTAATGTGGTAAGAACATCAAACTAATTGCACATGATACTGGTTCTCTTATGGACAAATCAGGAACTGAAAAGTCTTATTATCTCTCTCTACTTTAGTTTATTAGTTTATACCTTGCTCCTAAATACTTTTATGTGCTGTCAGATTTACAAGTAGGAATTCATCCTCTTCCATTACTATGCTTAAATTGTGTGTATTACACGTTTTTCACAATTTTTCTGTGATATTACACCCTATGCATTTTCAAACAAGACATTTTAGGCTAGCATCTTGAAGCATCTCTTTGTATATATGACGTATTTGAGATAAAATCCACGTATTTTAAGGTATACAGTGGAAAGCATTTATTCTAAATAACAATACCTAATTTTGAGAAGAAGAGTAAGGCACTGTTGCTATGACTCTCAACAGTTTTGAGGATAGTTAGCCAAATAATTAATTGATTTACCTAATTTAATTTGTCTCCCCACTCCCAGTTCTTGATATTTTGACATTTTCTGGATGTTAAAATACACCATCCTTTCTTCTTTGCACAGACACTTGTCTGACATTCATTCCATTTGACTGAGCACATGAAAGAAATATAAATGAGTGAACATAACACACCACTTCCTAAAAACCAAAAGATTTCCCTAACCTAATTAACAGGATGATTCACTGAGTTCACCAGCTTTGGTGGAAAATAATGAAGTTTTAAAATGCACTTTTAGTTAAAATAATCTACATTTGTTGACATGGGGGGAAAATAGTATAAAAATCAGTCATCAGACTTTCACTCCTACAAATTATTTTAAATGAAATTTTTATTAGTCCCAAATTAACATTTTGTTGAGTTCAAAATTAATTCAATGTCACTTACTCTACATCTCCCTTTGCTGAAAAGCATCTGTTGCACTGCTGTATTTCTCAGTGCTGCTTGTCACAATATAAATTTAAAAATTTGAGCCATTTGTATTTATTATTGATTCCTGAAAAAAGGCTTCTAGGAAGAGGTGTTGCATAGACAGACATTTGACTGATGAAGGAATGGTTAATACTTAGAGTTTAATCATTCCTGTTGATTTATTTTGTTCTTAGACCAATGGGCGTTATGAATGGATTGATAACTGGAGAATGAAGTATACTAAATGGGCTGAAGGGGAGCCAAAACAGCAAATAGGCTGTGTCTATCTAGACATTGCTGGAGGCTGGAAGACAGGATCCTGCAATGAAAGTTACTTCTCTGTTTGCAAAAAACCTGATGGTAAGAACTTGAATCTAACCATTGTAATTACAATTATTATCTTTTTACAGTTCATTGTGCTGGGTTGTCTGCTGATATATACATAGATGCTGTTTTTTATTTCAAGAGCTAAATATAAAATCATTAAAATTTACTTGGGTTGAATGGAGCTGCTTTAAAATGAGGGCCAACACATGTTAAGAAAGAGCTAGCGTGACTCTGAATAGCCATCACTTTATATTAGTAATGTCAGATATATTTTGCAAAACTTAGACTCATGCTACTCTGCTATTTATTGTGATATTGAGTAAGCATGCAAGACCAAAAACCTCAAAAATCAAAAGGCAGTGAATGTTAGGTAGTAGTCGCACAGGCATGGTGTTGAAGGGGGAAGAGCTGAATGATCAAGCTATAAGGTGTCACAAGGAATGTTTCCTTATAACAGCTTTCCAGGTTTTCCTTTTATAACTGAGTAACAAACTACGGGTGGTATAGAAATGTCTGAGGGTACTTCTTCAAGCCACCTTCTCTTATGTTTTTGACCTGAAACTCCTGTTACTATCATCTGACAAAGCCTTCTGCATTCCGTGATATTAGGTCACAGCCCCCATATGACCAAGTTCATATGGGTCCTAATTCAGCAAAGCAGTCAGGTGTGAAAATACGTTTGTGAGTAAAGAGTTGAACTGACCTTAAGAGTGTGTTGAAAGATAAAGGTATATTTGGATTCTTTGCTAAATCAATTTCTTGAGATCACAGTTACAGTATTTTTTTTCACACATTTAGGACTTTTTCCCATTATTGTGTTGCAGTAAGCAGTTGTGACTGTTTAAGGCTAGGCTGGCTCTTAAAATGGGTGGCAGACATTCTCTATTA